AATACAAGAATAACTCTGTTTTTTGTACACTCACAATGGTAAAGCTATGTTTGCCCCACTCTGGATAGAGAGAAAAGACTAGCAAACATGCTGTTGAAGGAGATGAACAAAGTCAGAGAACTGACACAACTCAACATCAGGACTGGTTATAAAGCTGCAGTAACTAAGACAATATGGTATTGGTGAAAGAATAAACAAATAGGTTAATGGAACAGAACAGAGAACCCAGGAATAGCTTTGCATATATATAGTCCACCAATCTTTGACAAAGGAGCAAAGGCAGTACAATGGAGCAAAGATAGGATTTTTAACAAATGGTGCTAGAACAGTTGGACATCACATGCAAAAAAATGCATCTAGACACAGACCTTACACACCACAAAAATTAACTCAAAATGTATTATAGGCTTAAATGTCAAATGCAGAAGTAGAACATAACATAGCAACAATCTAGATGAGCTGGGGTTTACAATGACTTTTTAGATATGATTCTAAAAGCAAAATCTATTAGAGAAATAGCTGATAAACTAGTAGGTGAATATCTTAAGAGAATGAGAAGACAATCGACAGACTGGTAGAAAATATTTATAAAAACATATCCGAGAAAGAACTTGTATCCAAAATACATAAAGAATTCTTAAAACTCAACAAGAAGAAAATAACCTGGTTGAAAAGTAGGCAAAAGACCTGAACAGGCACCTTACCAAAGAAGATACACACATATCAAATACATATAAGAAAGTATGCCCATTTTCTGTCACTAAGGAATTGAAAATTAAACCAATAAAGAGATATCATTGGTGTATACACTTTAGAATGATCAATACCCCAAACACCAACAACACAAAATGCTGATGAGGATGTGGGGCACCAGGAACTCTCATGCTTTGCTGGTAGCAATGCAAAATGGTACAGCCACTTTGGAAGACAGATTGGCAGTTATGTAAAACCAAACATACTTTTACCATATGTTCCAGTGATTATACTCCTTGGTGTTTATCCAAACAAACTGAAAACTAATATCCACACAAAAACCTGCATATGAATGTTTATGGCAGCTTTATTGATGATTATCAAACTTGGAAACAACCAAGTGGTTCTTTAATAGGCAAATGACTAAATTAACAGTGACACAACCAGACAGTGCAGTATCATTCAGTGCTAAAAAAAAGAAGTCAGCTATAAACCATGAAAACACACTGTGGAATTTTGATGCTGGGGAACCTGCTCATATCTAGAAGCAAGTAGAATATGTAAAATCTCTGTAACTTCTGTTCAAATTTGTTGTGAACCTAAACTTGCCCTAAAAATAAATTTTCTTTTAAGAAACAAAGGAAGTGAAATGATACACTAGGAAAGATCTACTTGACACAAAAGAAGGCAATGATAGAGGAGTGGAGAACACAACAGGTCTAAAACATATGGAAAACAAATGGCAAAATGGGAGGACTAAGTCCTATATTATCAGTGTTTGCATTAACTATAAGTGAACTAAACATTCTAATTAAAAGGCAAAGATTCACAGAATGGATTTTAAAACATCATCTATAAAAGATATGCTTGAGATTCAAAGATACAAATCCTTTGAAAATGAAATGTTAGAAATTAAGCTGGCCCATAATAACCCAGAGAAAATGGGAGTGACTGCACTAATGTCAGAGAAAATAGACTTTACAGGGGAGAGAATTTCAGGGGAAAAGGGGGAGGGTTTGCAGGAACGAGTATAAAGGACACATGGACAAAAACAAGGGAGGGGGTGGAAATGGAAGGGAGGTGGGGAGGGCTGGGGGGTGGGCTGGGATGGGAGTAAAAAGCAGAAAACTGTACTTGAACAACAATTAAAATAAAAAATAATGAAATGGAAAAAAGAAAATAGACTTTAAAACAAAAATCGTTACTATAGACAAAGAAGAATATTATATAATGATTAAAGGGCTTATGGGGTCACTCCACTAAGAACAGATAACAGTTATAAACATGTTTACACCTTATATCAAAACCCCAAAATGTTTGAAGCTAGAGCTGCAGAACTGAAAAGAAAAATAGACAATTTAATGGCAATAGTTTGAAACTCTGATACTCTACTTTCTACAATGAGCAGAGCTAGCAAGAAAATCCACAAGGAAGCAGAAGACTCGACAATACTGTAAGCCAACAGACATGTGTAGTGCATTCCACCCAGCCTTAAGAAGAATGCACAGTATTCTTCTTAAGAAGAATGCACAATCTTCTTAAGTACATGTGAAATGCTCTCCAGGAAAAGCTATATGTTAGGCCATAAAATGAATCTCAATAAATTTAAAAGAACTGAAATTATACAAAGCATGTCTTCTGACCACAATAGAATAAAATTAGAAATTAGTAACAAATAAATTTTGAAGAAATACTCAAATAAGAAAGAATATTTAAAAAGATATTGAACTTTTGAGTTTAAAATCTAACTGGAAGCTAAAATTGAAAGGTTTGGGTAGAGCATAAATAAAGAAATTTCTCTTTTGAAATTTATAAAAGACAAACATTAGTGGCTTTGATTTTTATCTTACTCCCTAGTGCTGATTTGGACAAATTACTCTTCTATCTGGGATTCCTTTCATCATGACCTAGAAGGGGATTTTTTTTAAGTAAACTATTCCCTGGTCTTCACCAGTCACTTTACCCCTTCACTTTAATCCTGATCATTGCAGTAAAATTAGGCATATATACATTTTCCACATTGTTACTCAATGGATGCAGGATGATTATGTCCATTGAAAGCTCAAGGGGATATTCTAAGTAGCAACTTCCCAAATTAAATTATTAGTCAAAAGCTAAGTGTTTTAACTACTATAATAAGATATGCTCCTTCTACCAGAAGATTCTAGTTATTTTGACTTACTAAATATTTATTATACAGCTCTTCTAAACACTGGGGGGGATTATAGCAATAACTGAGATTTGATTCAGTCCTCAGCAACCTTGTGATCTATTAAGCAGATGGTGTTCATAAGACAAGCACACAAAAGAATTTCCATTACATGCAAAATGTAAGAAATGCAATGATTAAGGCATGAGAGCCTACGGTGATTCCAAAGGTGATGTATCCAGTTAGAGTACTTAGGAAAAGCTTCTTCTAAAGAGTGGTCTCAACCTTGGCTGCTCATTAATAACACTCTGGGGGCTTCAGAAAATCTCGATGACCAAACTTTATCCCGGACCAAGTAAATCAAAATATCTCAGGCAAGTGGCAGATTTTTTTTAATATTTCATTTATATATTTTTACAGAGGGGAAGGGAGGGAGAAAGAGAGAGAGAAACATCAATGTGTGGTTGCCTCTGTTTGGCCCCCACTAGGGACCTGGCCCGCAACCCAGGCATGTGCCCTGACTGGGAATCCAACCTGCGACCCTCTGGTTCGCAGCCCACACTCAATCCACTGGGCTACGCCAGCCAGGGTGCATCAAGATTTTTTAAGTTCCTTTAGTAATTACAATGTGCAGCCCAGTTTGAGAATCATTGAAATAAAAGATAGGGTGAGGAACAAATAATTAGAACTATATAATGAGAAAGATTTCCACTGAAAGGGGTGGAATATTGGAGCACTTGGAAGAACCCTCTCCTCATATAGGTAACTTATTTTTATTCTCCAAACCTCAGCTTAAGTACGACATTGGCTAAAAAGCTTTGCCCAGCTCCACCAATGATAATAACAATTAATAAAGGTAATAAAAGCTGACACATTTTATAGCCCTTGCAAGTGATAAGTACCATTCTAGGCACTTTAAGTATATTTCAACATTTGATCCTCCCAGCAACACTAGGACAGAAATAGCACTAGTATTCTCATTTTACATGAAAGGAGGATAAATAACTTGACAAAGTTACACAACTGAGAGTGGCAGAGCTGGGATTCAAATATTGTATAAGGACTCAGCAACCTATGTTTTGAAACATGACTACATGCCATTAGATGCCCTTATCAAGGCTTTCACAGAACCCACGCATACTTCAATGATATCATGAATCACATTATATTGTAAATGTTTGCCAGATTTTTCTCTTCCCTGAATCATTCATTCAATAAACAATTATTGAGCATATTCTTTGTGCCAGAAAATGTGCCTGTTACTAGAAATACAAAGTCTCTTATGTTATATTTTATCTGTGAAAGAATTTTAGTTTACAGCAGAGGTCAGTGAACTAAAATTCACAGACCAAATCCTGCTGGCCACCTGTTTTCATAAATATAATTTATTGAGCCACGCTCATTGGTTTATTATCTCCAGTTTTTTTAATGTTATGACATCAGAAAGGAGTAGTTGTGAGGGTGAGGATCTGGCAGCAAAATCTAAAATTTACTATCTGGCCCTTTATAGAAAAGGTGTGCCACCCCCTGGTCTAGAGAATAACACAAATAAGAAAATCATCAATGATTAAAATAAGGTACACGCCATGGTGCCCAGTACACTGTGGGGACATAAAAGAGAGATATCTACATTAGGTTAGAGGGTCAGCAAAAGTTTTCCAGAAGACATGCTATTTAGTCTAATTGTGTAAGGCTGAGTAGAATTGCCTAGACAAAGAAAAATAGCCAGACTTGTCAGCAAGTTCAGGCAGGGAAGTTTAGTGGTGATCCAGAAAGTGAGCAAATGGCAGCTGGAACAAAAAGAGCTGATATGTTTCATATATATTTATTAGCGCCATATAATTTATGAAAATATATCTTTGATGTCTTTATCTTTTGCTATGTAGTATGGCTAGTGGTGGTTACAGTCGAAACTCATCAAATATTTTTTAACAGAAAATATAAAGTCCTAAGCAAAGGATGTTTATTTAAAAAAAGGAAGAAAATATTTGCCTTCTATTAGTTCTTAAAGTCACTGAACTATAAGAATTATGATTGTTTTACTCACTGTCCTAGAGTGAAAAAAACTACCACTTTTTCCTTGTTTTCAGTTGTATGGATGACTGTATCTATTAACAATGCAGTTTTACAAATGAGAAATGGTTGCAATATACTCTACCTGGAAAATTCATAGGCAGTTCAAATGGTTGCGGAGATTCACGACCTTCAATGTGCTCACAAATTTCAGCTATGATTTTTTTAATTTTGAGTCCAGTAATTTTAATCACTTCTCCTGTTGCCAAACAGCATTCATTTCCAAACATTTCATAAATAGAGCCTGAAAAAAGAAGAAAACAGCTCTTAAAGATGAATTAAATCATGAAGAAAAAGATAAGAGTCAAAAGCCTCATATTAAGTGTTTTATTTCAGTTCCTCTCGTAGCTACCTACTAAACAGGAATTTAATCAAGCTCGGCAAAATGTACAGCATGTTCCAAGAAAAATATTAGATTTTGACTTTATCTATCCATTGGGCAAGGTAGAAACAATCTTATTTTTGTTATTATTATAAATTGAATTTATGGTTTCCTCGGAACCTTTGGTTCATCTCCCAAGGTCAAACTACAAATGTGTCCTCCCTTATTGGGATTTACGATCTATTTTTTCAGGGTCACAGAATTAACCTTATGTGAGTCAACAATATTCTAAGTAAATACTGCAAACACAGTTGTGATACAATCTGAATCCAAAGACAGAGAGTCTGCACAGCAGGGCTTTACACCAAGAGCATCATATCGATTTCTTGGCCTGGTTCTCTTTATCATTGTGCATATAAGTCTTCTGTCCATTTAATCTCTTGATTTTTGACACATCTGAAACAATATTTTTATGGCAATAGGGGGCGGACCAGTCCAGATACACTGAAAAGCTTCATTTTAGTTCAGGATTTCCGTCTGCTTCCTAGCAAACCTTTTATCATAGATGCTAGAGAAAGCTTTTCACTCATTTATTTTCCTTTCTTATCTCCTGGTGGAAGAAGAGCAAGCAGTGAAGTGACAAGAAGATGAGCAACAGAAAAAAGAGGAGGCAAAATTCTGGATGATCTACCCCTAGTAAAAGTGGAACAACCCCAAACTACATTATTGGGATATTATCAATTTACAGTTAAATAGTAAATAAACTAGTTTGATGTAAATAAACATTATAAAACTGTAGAGTTTAAGACATATCAGTTTTTCCTTACCTCCAAAGATGATATGATTTATATCACTTTTACTGCACTAAAATGTGAACAACATAAACATAAGATTTGAGGTTTGTTTTTGTTTTCCAAATTTCTTTTTATTGGACCCACTCTTCCTAGATTCTTGCCTGATATAGCAGACACCTAAAATATTTTTATAGCATTAACGGTTGTCATAAAAGTTGTTGAGACTGACATACAATCTTGCTTAACTCTTCGATTGTATTAGAATCTCAATAGAAATTGGGGGCACACTCAAAGTAAAATACTTTGAGGAGGTTTTAACAAAGGGGCGATTTACACAGAGGCACAGTCCATTCTAGGCAGTGCAAGAAAATAAATATCCTGATTTCACATTTCTCCCTCCATTTGATCCTCTGCCAGGCCCCTCACTGGCCAGAATCAGCCAGAAGCCAGAGGACAAGGGAGGGGCTGATGACCCTACAGAAGTCACATCCTAAGTAGAGAGTGAAATGAAAATCTAGCACACAAAACTTAATGTCCATTATTTAATAAAGACCATTTTAGCAGACATGCTGGTGTATCTGTTCCTCAAGTTTTAGTATATATTTCCATAAATCCCCTATTGTCTCATACTCTTCCATTAATTGCATGTGTTCATCCTTTTCATTAACTCTAATACATAGCCTTGTCAGCCATCACAAACCCTTTTTAGAACAAGTTGAGATATTAAAAAATAATAATAAATCCATAGTGACATTTTCCTCCAGTGAACTCAGAATAGTTAATTTCTATGATCCTCATTTGGCAATTAATCACATACTAACATTTTACATCTTCAATATTATCTCATCCTGTACTTAACTTTTTATGACTTTAGTTTTTGTTACTGCCAATTCAATTTCAAGCTTTGTGAAAGGAAATATTGCATTATAGTATTGCATAACTATAACATATCAACTTCCCTTTTTCATTTAAAACCTACTATGTGGCAGGCATTGTGACTGACAGCTGGCATCAAAGATAAAATGCACAATCTCTTCCTCTCTCCCAAAGAAGCACTGTCTTGAAGGGAACAGGCAAGTAAGCAAATATTGAAGCAAATATTGAAACAGATTATGAGAGAGTTATAATTTAAGAAATACAAGGCATTGTGGGATGATACTGCAGACACTTAATTAAGAAATTACATGAGAAAGAGACTAGAGAAGGACTCCTGGAGGCAGTGACAGCTGAGCTGTTTTAAAGGAAGCCTGACAAGACGTCAGGACAAGCAGAGGAAATATTATTTGAAAGGGTACGGAGATGTGATACATTCTGGAAATTTCAAGTAGCTTGTTATGTCTCAAATATAAAGTAGGAAAAGGGACTTAGTAAAAAAAAAAAGAAAAAGAAGAAGACAAGAGAAGTTGAGGGCATCTAGATCACGCAGCATCTTTATGAAATCATTAATAAACTAAAGGGCCAATAAAAACCTGAAGCAATGTCAAAAATCAAAGGATCTACATTTTCTGTTACCAGGGTTTAGGAACTAATACCAGTTTAATGAGAGGTCATGTGTATCAAGGTGCTTGTTATCCAGAGTCTAATCTACAGCATCACATGGGAGCTTGTTAGAATATTGGCCAGACCCCAAACCTGCTGAATCAGAACCTATATTTTTAACAAGGCCCCCAGATGATTCATAAGCACATTAATGTCTGGAAAGCCCTGGCCCAGGCAACAAATGTGTAACTGAAATAGTCTCCGTTCTGAGATTGTTGTAGCAATAACTGGATAGGGAAGACGATGCCCTGTAGAGGAAGCATTCAGTGCCATTGAGGTAAAGGATGTCAAAAATGGAAACAAGAAAAGGGAAAGATTTTAAGTAGGTAAGTGATATGGTAAGACATTTCTTTGTCCCATAAAATGGAACATAATGTGACCCAGTTCATTTTAGCTGAAGCCTGTTGGGCTTCATTTTAATGAGTGTCTAATTGCAGATGTATATCAAACTGACTGGCTTGGAATGCCAGCCTTTTCAAAAGCTCCACTGGAAAACTGAAAGATGAATTTCTGTGAGGTTACATAACAACTCATAGGGAACAGAAGTCAGAGAATTCTATGAGAAAATTCTGTGAGTTTTAGTCAACACATAGAAATCTTCTTACTCTTCAGGTCTCATTCCAAACATGTTACTCCTTCAGAAAAAAAGAAAATCACTTCTTTCAGTCATAAAAGGAATGGAACTTCATAAAAATACTAAGCTTTAACATTTATCATTAATTCTTTGTGGCTGTAATTTTCTCTAACCAGAAAGCTGTTAATCCACTTTCAATAAAGAGAATGTCAACCACGCCCAACACTAGAAATGTATGTTCATTGTAGATGAGAAGACAACAAGAACACATCTGAACTGGAGGAGGTCTTGTACTTTATTGTCAATACAATGTTTCTTAAAATATACTTTTTCTCACCAAAAGTATAAAAAAAATTAAAAAATATTTAATTTAATATTTTTTGGTTAATTTAAAAAATAGCCAACTTTCATAATTTCAGAACCAGCTCATATAATATGTGTAAATGCCTTTTAAAAACTTGCTGAAGCCCTGACTGGCATAGCTCAGTTGATTGAGAGCAGGCTGAGAACCAAAGTGTTGTAGGTTCGATTCCCAGTGAGGGCACATGCCTGGGTTACAGGCCATGACCCCCAGCAACCACACATTGATGTTTCTCTCTCTCTCTCTCTTTCTCCCTCCCTTCCCTCTCTAAAAAATAAATAAAAATTAAAAATTAAAAAAAAAACTTGCTGAGATGTGTATCTGAACTAAGTGTTTGCATATATACAGATATTAAGCTTGTTTTTATTTCATTTTAACAAGACATGTATTTTGAATATGCAAATCTATTAAATCTTTATAGACGAATTCTTCCCAAGTCAATAGCATAAGTATTCAGGACAGTGCCAAACATCAGAGAGAGCTGGAACAAAGCGGCCTGTTTCCAGTGATCAAACATTCCCCCTGAAGCCTGTAATGAAAGAGCCATATGCCTTTGAAATCAACTTCTCTAACGCTACTTTGCACAACAGAAATGACACATTCATATCCTTTTATGAGCTCATCTCTTATTCGACAATTCATATAAGCAATACTATGATCACATCAGAAGAGCCAAAACAATTGGTTCAATAGCTGTTTTTCCATTTCCTCAAAAAGTTAAAAATATATGGTAGTCAGGGCAGAAGAAATCCATCTCAACCAGTCCTAAAGGTTCAGCTCATATTCCTGGGCTCTTTCAAACCTCCATTGACCCCCACACCTAAGTGAGAATTAATTTTCTCTTCTGTGTGTGTATTTCCATCATAGACCTGATGTGGTTATTACCACAGCCAGCTATTAGGGCATTATTTTCTAACCCTTGATACTATGAATATTTTAGAATTTATTATGAGTTCCTAGAGAAAGCTATTTCTTAACTATATTTATACTTGTCCTCACGTACACACTGCTAGTAACACAGTTTTTGTCACTTAGTAGATTCTTAGTTAATGTTAAATTATATATCAGCTTTACATAAAATGACAGTACGTAATTTTGAATACAGTAGTAGTCCTTTTACACCATCAGTTTAAAGCATGGGCAACCCAGAGCTCTAGCGTGGGTTATATTTTCATTTGATATGTTTAATATCAAATGCACAAGCATATGTGAGAGTAGCTGGCCACCCTGTGAACTATCTATACAAGGACCATTAGGGTAGGCAATTCTATATTATGAATCTCTGCTTAAGTTTGCACTTTACAATTAGGTTTTTATATTGCTGGACTTGAAGAGGAAGTGAAATGATGAAATGAAATGATCTGAGATATGTTTGGAGGAGTTAAGATTGCATCTGTAAAGTTTGCTGGATATTGTATTACAGTGTATACAGAACCACATCAGATTGGGTTGCCAGCAGAGATATATCTTTACTCTTCATAGTTAGGTATGATTATTCTTTCCAATGTAGTGAAAAAAATAAGCATGAAACAGCAAGCTTGCAGCTTTCCTAGAGGCAGATTCAACTACTTAGATATTGGAGTTACCACAGAGAGGTATATCTGAACATGGTAGGAAACGATCTTTCAAGGTCATAGAGACTCTTACTCCACCT